ATATATATATATATATATATATATATATATATATATATATATATATATATATATATATATATATATATATATATATATATATATATATAAAAGATTTGGCCAAAAAGATGAATATACACAATCTTGCGCATACAAAAGTTAATTCCAACTATTATAGAAAAACAATCTTATTGTTGTACAAAAATTGGACCAAATCAGATGCACAAGCTGCATATAGATATCTTATACCAAATATTCTTGGCAAGAAGCTGCCATTAGATTGACAGGAAATATGAAGAATTCTGAATAGATATCCAGATAGATGCATAAACAGAAGTAACTCCACATACCTAACAAAGCAAGATGAACAGAAATGGATGCTCGATTGGTAGAACAAGAAAATGGAACACAAAAAGATGCTTGAACAAGAGAGCACATAGGCTGTTCTTCACATAGGTGGGAGGCAACACATGATTCACAGGCTTCTTTCCACACAAAAACTTTGTACATGAGAAAAGAATCCTGTGAGGTCTAGACCTCCAGCATGAGCAGAATATAATAACAGAAGATAGGTCTTGCGTTGCACTTCTACAATCAATGTAGATAACATTGCTAATCCAAACTTAATGAGAACATTGGCTTCGGAGAAATTTGCAGTACAACAATTTTCAGATTTACTTCCCAATTGTAAGGAGTTTTTTCACCTTGAACTTCCTTGTGTTTGAGCTGGGCAATAATAGAATGACCACGTTGCATGTGACTGTGGCTTCTTACAACCATTTTTTCCAACTCGAGGATCTCTTATCACCAGATAAAAATCTTGGAAGATTAAGTAGGGAGTTCACCCTGGTGATGCCTTCTAAGGCAGACCATTCCTCCTCCTCTGTGGTGGATATACAGTCGGCAAGGCTCCTGGTAGACTGGGATCTTTCGGTCACAGTTTCCAAATCAGGTCCCTCTGATACTGGGACGATCTCGTTTGCACTGTGAACAGGATAAGAAGGTTCCAAAGCAGAAGTTGGAACATCAACAGTAATTAATTCATGTGTTTCTTGCTTGACTGTGACTTCTTTATCTGCAAGAACCAAGACTGCTGTCTCTGTTGACTCAGCATCTGATCTGTTGGAGTCACATTTCTGAACTGGATCAGATGATGAAATGGGTTTCAAGAATAGACAGACAACAGCACAGTCATCAATTTTTGATGTTGGAAACTTGAGTCGCCAGGCTCGTACAGCACAGTCAACAACAGCTCTTGCAGCAGTGCTGCGAGTGGGAGCAGAACCAACCACATCAACTACTTCCTTGTTGGAAAGAACATCCCAGACCTGCACATAATCGATTCTCATATTGAAAACTTCATCAGCTTCTAAACAAGAAGCTAGTGATTCATCAAGAAATATATAAGATGCAAAACTGAAGGTTCCTAGATTAATAATCTATTATCAGATTCAAATAACTAGTTGTACTGCAATAATATACACTTGCAAGAAAATAAAATCAGAATTCCATCACCAATCAGAAATTAGGGGCAAGTTCTTGCGATTATAATTACAAATTTGTGATTATCTCAAACAGATATTTAGAGTATGCATGGACCAAAAAAAAAACCTTTCTAAGGAATGGATTAATTCAGAATTGAGATCATGCTCTGGACAGGACATCCTAGTGGGAGCAGTTGAATAAGAGCAAATTTGAAGCATCATCACTATATTCATACTGATTTACAGCCTTGCAACTCCAATATCTGATTGTATGGATGACAGTGACTGGAAAAATACAACTTCTCGTACTTTTCTCCATAATTTTAATATTAAGGTGCAGTATTCTCATCTACATGTAGCAGCACAACACTAAAAGAGGGATTCAAAGTAACGAAATTTCGAAGTTTCTGTCCCTTCCCAGAGACAGAAGCAAAGGAGTGAAAAACTGAATAGGCACAAGTCCCACTTGTGATAGCAAAAGAGGACTATGTAAAGGGGTAGTTTTAGAAGAATGATGTTGATCATAATCATTGAAGTGTTAGTCTCATTTCAGTTGACTCAAAGGTTGTAGACCAAAGCACCATAAACCAGAAGAATGGCTACAGATCGATCAAAACATTCACATTCGCAATAACCTAGAAAAGGGATAAAGATGGAACTGTAATTAAAACTGAAAAATAGGCTTAATAATGCATCGTATGAAACTTCTGGAACTAATTCTAAACCATTATCTTTAAGAAAGAAATCCCAAAATACATGATAAAAGCAACTAAACTATTATAAGAGAAGTACCCCATCAGTTGCAAGAACTATAAACTCGTCTTTCTCAGTCAGGTGACGATATGAAATTTCTGGAACTGATATTAGACCATAATCTTTAAGACAGAAATCCCCAAAAGCTCTGGCCATCGCCAAGCCAGGGGAGTCATTGTTTGGCAACCAAACTCGTGCAACTTCTGGTTCATCCTGCAGTGCAAAAACTCGTCCCTTGCATTGCTGGATTCTAGCAGCTTCCCCTAAGGACAACATATCAAAGTTTAGTCCTAGACAGACCTCATAAGTTAATAAGTTTATTAAAAATCATCAACAATGACAATTGATATCACTTATATACGTAGAAAAGAAGATAAAAAACTGCATCGTAATGAACACGGAAATGAATTCTTTCACTTCTTATAATAGATGGATAAAATGCTGGAAAAATCCAAGATATTTTATACTTCAATAACAAAGTCATTACTCAATGAAAATATCCTAATTGAAAGCAAAAAAAATGCTCCATTCAGCAAGTTACTATGCCAAAAGGCTTTAAATGTCACATGGAAAGAGATCATTACTAGGAAGATTGGGCTTCAGATCAACAGTCAATTGCACAGCAGTCAAATTATTTTCCTTGTCCCGTGTTCCCATTATCGCTCTTGAGTCGCCAATGTTCCCGATAACAAGATCTTGTCCCTGGTATGGTAGAGTAACACAAAATTTAACGGCCAGCATATGGATAGAAGGAAAACTGATTCCTAAAATTGTTTTGCAAAAACTTAACCAAGCAATCACTTGTTTTAGAATCTGAAATTGCAAACAGTAGAATTGGAAGCTTCTATGAATCTAGCAAATCTAGAATCTCTGATAAATCCAACTCGGAATCTGAGAACTATTTAATCACCAGTAAGACGACCAATTCAGAGAAACTGAAAGATTTTGCAACACAATACCTGCTTTACCACAGTAACAGCTGTAGTTCCACTGCAGAAACAGTCAATAGTTGGGTGAAACTTCAACTCTTTGTCCATCGACTTGAAAGACTTGAGAAAAGACTGCTTTAGCGGAAGATACATCTCAGGCAATTTTTCATTCTCATCAACATCTAATGATTCACCGCACTCATCATCTATGCTCATAGATGCTGTTTCTTCAGAGTTCATACTCCCAGAGATGCTACCGTTTGGATCAGGACTCTCATGACTGTTAAGACTAGCTCTCCATTGGGTGGACAACTTGAGAGGAAGAGAATCTCTGACTTTCTTGGAAACCATATGACCATACGGACCATGACCATCAAAAACCCCACAGAAAATGGTGTCTTTTGTCAAAGAGAAATTCTACAATCACAAATGTGACTATACGTAAGTTCTCAAAAAGTTTACATCCTAGCTTTTGAAACAAAACCAAAATGTATCATTGGTTTGTACAACAAATGCTTTTCCAAGTAATCTGAATGAACCTGATAAACACAATATACAAATACTGAAGAAGTTGAACTGAGAAAACTGCAATATAAAAATAAGGGACTTCAAAATATGTCATTAGACATATGAGGCATGCGCCTGAAAAGGCATATGGAACAAGCAATACAATCATGTTGATGGTTAAATTAAGTGTAATTGAAAACCAGATTCAAGTATCAGAACCAACAAAAGTTAAGCTTTATAGTAAGAATATACTAACTTGGACGTTGTGCCTGCTCTGAGTCATCTCTCTTGGTATTTTATGTACTTCATATGTGTCTAACCAACCCAATTAAACAAAGGTATGATACATGTGGTAATTTATGGATGATTTAGTTCTCCATTTTATTAAAGCTCAGTTTTGCCTTCCAGAAGTCCATTTTTGCTAACAAACCTCCAGAAAGGAGATGCATATATAAGAAATTTAAAAAGCTAAATACTTTAATCTTTTATTCAACAACACAAGGCATAGGCAATCTGATGGCCATCAATTCTTATGTTTTTCATTTCCTTAAAGATGCCTGGTGGCTATCATGAAAGTCCCATTAATGACTTAAGGTGGTCCCAATTTCACTGCTATGACCAGATGAAAGAAATACAATGAAGCCACAAATGGTACATCATAGTACTATTAGTTACAAATTTTACATGAAAGCCATCTTACCTCGATAGATTTGTGACTGAATTTTGCACATAATAGTTTCCTTGGTCTTTGGTATGATGCCAAGCTTCTCCATAACATTTTGCAAGACATAGAAACTTTCTGATGACAATTCTTTCACACTATTACGTTTATGGTTAATTAGTAGCAGAGACCATATATATTAGTCACAATAAATACGCCTTACTCTAACTTTCCTACAAGAGTGACTAATAAGTCAGAGTGCTAAGTAACTTCTACCATGCATTAAAGCAATAAATAATGGAGGAGGGTTACAAACTCATGCTAACATATCAAAGATACATTAAACATCCTAATGTTATAGATAAAGGTGGAACATTAGAGCTAAGAATGAAGCTCAATTGCATATTCAGAATAGTAAAAAGGAATTGAAATATGCTGGAAGATTAAATTCAGCTAAGCTTTACAAACTACTGATGATGACCATTATAAGTGTGAGCTCTTTTGACTATTTCAGACTCCTTTTGCTAAAGAAACATGTTCTAAATTTATGCTTTTCTTGTAAAAATCACATGCTAGGAAAGAAGGACTCTTAATATTCACTTATGAAGGAACAAAGAAAAGGATTTTTATTTGTTGAGGGGAAAAGGGATCGGCCACAGAATTTTGTTAAAAGAACAAGATACACAGAAAAAACATTAGAGGAAACACATACAAAGAATGGGAAAATCATGCTTCAAATATACCACCGTGCGACGTATTGCTCCCAATGCAAATGTTCAACCTTCCAATTACGTGTAAAATCTTCGACCGTGAGTTTTGTTCCATACGATCTCAAAAGGTAACCGCATTTAAAAAGCCAAATATCCATATCCAACATATTTGAAGAATATTCAATAGGAGCAAAGGTCACGAGAACATTTCCAAAATCAGACATAAAGGGACTGAATCTAATTAGAGATGACATTTTTAGAGTTAAAAACACATTAATTTGATGCTTCTATCTTGATAAATGGAACAAATTTTCACCGACGCGTAAAGACCAATTCTTGCCATCAAATCCACGTGGTATTAACAACGAAAGTCATCGTTTTTTTTATCCCATGAACGAAAAAGGAGTTCGAGAGCCGATACCTCCCACACAATCATGGCGTCCTGGTTAGTCCCCTTCCTTCCCTGCTGCGTGTAGAGGCATGCCGCCTCGCTGGTGCCGTTCAAGAACATCCGTCCGGGCACGCGGTCGAGCTCGTCCTCCTCGGCCTCGCCACTGCCGTCGACCGCCGCACGCCGCCGCCCCCCGCCTCCTCTCTTCTGCTTCTCCTTCATTGCCTTCTTCCGCCCCCTCCAGCTCCTTGATCGGAACCGAGAGAGGCCCGAGGAGCCACCGCCCCGGGGGCCCGCCGTTAGGGTTCTGTCCACCGTCGCCGGCGACGAGGAGGACGAGAGGCACGAGCCCATTAAGTAAGAGAGAGAGAGAGAGAGACTGGAGACTGGGAGGAGTGGGCGATGGAGGCGTGGGGCTGCCTGTTTGCTTGTTTTATTACTCTCAAATGGCAGTTTCTTTGTGTGCTTTTAATATATATATAGAAGCGAATTTTCGAAAAAAAATAATATATATAAACGAAATTATATATATATATATATATATATAAGCGATTTTTTGAAAAAAAAAAAAACCTCTGAGTTTAAGAATTTTTTATATGGTGCTCCAACTTTTCAAAAAATTATACCTTAATTATGTAAAAAAATAATTATTTTTTAATAATTTTATTCTTTTTTTTTCCAAACCTAACGTCAATCTTATTGTTGCAATCCTTGTTCGTGATCCTTTTACGAGTATTGTTGTCGTCATCTTCGTACACATATACAGGCGTAATGTATGGTATAGACGACGATAGATCTAATAGTAATCATAAGTAGAATGATCATTTATGAAAAAAAATATTTTATAATTTTTTTTAATTAGAACGCCATACGAGAAATTATTAAACCTAAATATTTAAAAAAATTCACACATATTTTTTCTTCGAAAGCCATTCACTTCCTTTGGCAAATGACAACACTTTGTTTTAAGTCTCGTTTGTGAATAAGTAAAGTAAGTCAACACAAGACGATAGGGTTTCTAATACAAGTCAAAATTGGGATGTCATGCATCAAACTTTTTCATGGTTGAATCATTCAACAACGTCAGTGGCACAAATATAGTAAATGTGGCATGGGTAAGACCAAGTCATCCCATTTAGTTATTTGCATATAAGAGATATATTTATCTAATGATGAGTACTTTTTGTTTATTTCTCTTTGTCCTGACCTTTTCCTATATAAAGTAGCAAGCAAGAAGGAACCCTACCTTTGGTTGCCCACAACCTGAAAATGAAAGAAAGGAAGCTATTGCTTTCTCTCCTTTTCTTTTCTTTAATTTCATGTTGAGAAAGTCTAAAGTTAGACTAATTTCTTGACTAGAAATTATTATTATTATTATTATCAGAGTATCTTAATTTCTTTACTGATGTGTCATCCACAACCTGAAAATGAAAGAAAGGAAGCTATTGCTTAAGGGGAATTTTAGAGGATTAATTTCTTTGATGATCCATCAGTAATTATCTAATTTACATGAACTTTGGACAAGCTTGATCAGGACTTGCATCTAATTCTTGCAAGACTTGGATCTTACAAACCAAGTTCACTAAATTATTGACCTCCAGCATGAGACATGAAGTCATCTTCTTCTGCTTGACTACTAATTGTTTTGGGTGACAATGGAGCTTGAGTTGTCACCTTAAGAATAAGATCACCAACTCCATGCAGACTCACCAAATTTAGCTGACACTGCCACTGCTCGTGCTTGAGAAAATTACAACTGCAGAGCTCACCATCTATGCATGACCTATCAAGTGTTGCATTGAGTATGAACACTCCCAGATGGTCAAAAGTTGAAACCTCTCAATCTCTTTCTTTCTTTCTTTCTTTCTCTCCATTTTCCTTTTCCTAAAAAAGGCTTTCTATATCTCACAGGTTTCAAGTTGAAGCAAAAAAATTGCTTCTTAGCTGCCATGGTTGTGGAAAGGTGTTGGGATTTAGCAGTGGGTGCATGTGGGTGGGGGATGCACTGCCTTGTTGTGTTGTGTTTTGTGTCCCAGTATTGAGGACAAATTCTTCTGTCATATTCTTGCATAATGGGAAACCCACTGTACCCTCTCAATAATCACTACAGCCTACAGCACATGAAGGCTTGGCAATGGTGGGTGGGTCCTCCTGCCAAACCAGCCATGGAGTTATCTACCACCAAATGATTCATGTGGTGGATGAGAACAGGAATTGTTTGATATCCATTGTTGATGTTGCCAATTGAAATCATACTCATTCTCATTCCACTTACTTTGCTGAATCTAATTACCTTCAGAAGTATCAGTCTCATTCCCAACTCCCCTCAGAAATTTGGTCATAATTTACAAAGATATATTTTTTTTTTGGTTGACTTTGAAACCTTTACCTTATATTGAGAAGATACATAAAGTATAATATATCATAAGATGAAATAGCATATTAATTAAATATTATAAAACAAATGATATCTACACATTAATATTCTCTTTTTTGGTCAGTGTTATTGTGGCTGGGGGCTAAAACTGGTGTCAAGAGGAAAGGATGAGGACCACCAAAAAATGACATTGCTATTGTGGTCAAACAAGCATAAATATCAAACCCTTCCATGTCTTCTTCTCCATTATTTAGATGTAACAGTCCTATGGAATTGAAAGTTACAATAGCCAATGCAAGTGTTGGGCAATAACCAGCTTTTCTTGAGCTTTAGCTTTGCTGGCAATCTCCATTACTCACTGGAGATGAACTCAAAGCTTTTCATGTGACCAGAAAACAAACATGCTGTTTAATAAGATGTCTGCACTTAAAAGTAATTGACAACAAGTTGATGCAGCATTGGATTCTGTGTGACAAATTGAATTTAAGCATTTAACCTACACATGCTAAGTCAGCATGGATGTGAACAGTCACTGAACAATTCCAACATCTTGCACATGCCTTGCTCTCTTTCATTTCTTAGGCACATATTCTAACCAAATCTCAAAAGAGATCCAGTAAAAGTCTTGCTGAAAACAAAGTTCAAGTGTTTTGTTTCTTCTTTTCATCTGCAAATGTGGATGGATGGTTGTGTTTTCTGAGTGAAAATGAATTATGGTTTCAGATGAGGAATTGCACATTTTTCATTGTCACAACAAGTTTGATAGAAAGAAGTATTCTCACAGACATAAATGCTGTGATGTCTTCCAAGAGATTAGTGCTTCTGAATTTTCCTTCAATCTTTGTCAAGGCATTCAGTCTTGAATTGAATTCATGTGTCTCATTCAATGATGTTGGTGCCAACCATTCTTCTGCCTTGAACTGACATGAACCACCAGATTCACCCTCTGCAAGCCTCAGATTGCAGTCCTTGGGGACTTAGGACCTACTCTTCATCTACCAAAATTAGTGTTCCCCTGGCTATAAATAAATGAAATGTGGGGAACTCTCTTTGTCCACAAATTAAATTGAGATCAGGCCATTTGGTATACCAATTTATTGTCCATTGTTCATCCTAAACATCTTCTACACTCATAAAGGAATAACATGCAAACACAGTAACTAGTTTGTCATGAGAATGAAGATCATACTACAAGATCCTACATTTAAGAACATAACTGACCCATAGCCTACTAAGTCTCTTCAATTCAAGGACAGAGGCCAATTGGCACTGAGTGGTTCTTCTCTGATGATGACATTACATGTTTAGAGATAATGCATAAAAAAGACAGGTGTAGAACATAAACTCTGGATACCAAGGAAGTAGATATGAAGGGTTGGTCTTTAGTTTCAATTAGATATTCTCCATTTAATGCAGCAATAAGTGAGGCCACAAAATGTGATGCTTATGTGAATGAAAACCATATATGGTTAGTGTATGCAATCATATATTTGTACATAAAAGGACTGTTTCCATGAATAGAATTTTGATCATCCAGGTTGTATGGTTCATGTTGAGTTGGAGATGAGGGTCTTTGTTGGCACAGATGGTACTACCATGTTTGTAGGGTTCCCATGATCTATATAGCATAAGAAACAATGAGAATATATAAGTAGATTGTCTCATGTTGATTGTTGGTGCTGATGCAGAAGTCTCTGCTACATACAGTGGGCTTCATCTCTCTGTTGTTTCTTCCATCTGGGCTGAAAGATGGTGACCCCAAAAAAAATTGTGAAATAAAAGAACAAAAAAAAAAGGGTATAAGTTTTGGATAATTATTTAAATATAAACTATTAATGGAAGAAGTAATTGAGAACCAGTTTCTATGCAGAAGAAACATGGAGTCTGCTACCTGATGTATGAGAGCTTGTAATGGTTTTATCTGCCAGAATAGGTCCAGCTATCATACCAAGAATAATTATAGTTTGTTCACCAGTCAATGCAAACAAATTGCAATTCGTTGTACTCTGTGAATTCACAGGATGTATCAATCCAACAAGATCCTCATTCTTAGTAGCAGAGGGATGGAAAAGAAGAAAGAAGAGAGAAATCATGTTTGGAGCCTCTTCCTTCAGATGAGGTGTGTACCTCTGCTTCTTGCTTTTTTGTTTGTTCTCCAAGAGAATGGCATCTGCAAGCAGTGAACTTGTTATGACCGCAACGTGAATGCAGCTTCCTCCAAATCATTGATTTGCACTGTTCGAGTAGAGATTTACTACTCATTTGATTCCTTTTCCGACAAGAGGGAAGTGATATCGATCAGAAACAATTTAGTCATAGGACGTGAAGAGCTGACCAGCTTCACACAATCCCTTTCACCTTCCGCTGCAGAGATTTCTGATTGCCATAGATTCTGGTGGTTTCTCCTGGCCTCCGGGTTGATTTGCCTGCCTCTGTTGGTCTCAAGATGGCAGATTGCATGGACAAGGAAAGAGTCGACCGATGTTCCAACAGGAACTTGTACGACTGCTACAATGCAAGCTCATGGCCATGCAGTATGTGCTGGAAGCATGTTCCACAAACAGTGAAGGTGAACTCATTTCCAGCTCTCATTAATAGGAGATGATCTGAAATAACTATCCAGTACATCAGTTCTGACAAAGAAGAACAACTAGATAATTCTCTGCAGCTACATGTGATCATAATGATGGAGCAGTTCCATTTCATTCCTTGAATGGGAAGATTAGAAGAAAAGAAAACAAGAAATGACTGGTTTTCTTACTGCCATGTCTAATACCAATCGTTGTACATAAACAACTATTTGGTGACCTGTGAAAAGAGTTGGCCATAAGACAATTAGGGGGAATTGAAAGTGCCAAAATTGTAACTCGGTGGTGGTGAGGACAGTGATTGTTTAGGAGGAGAAGGGAGCATATGTTGTGTGTACAGTTGTATTATTATTCTGTTTCTGGGAACTTTTATTTCTGTACACAGACAAAGAAAGAAAGAGAAGGAGAGGGAGAAAGATTTGGGGGCAATGGAGGCCTCCGTGCAAGATTTCTTTCTTCGGTCCCTTCACCAAACCCTAGCTCGCCATCAATCGCTCTTCCAAGGTTAGAGTCACCCGATCCGACCCCATCTGTGTATCAATTTCTTTCTTGCAAAGGCGATTGCTTTGGTGAAAAAAATCGTCTTTTTGAGGAGTTTCTTGGTGCTCTTTGATCTTGGCTTGAAACCTAGGTTGGATTTGGTTTTCGGATAGTTTGATCGATCAAGATGGAAAGGTCGGTGGCCGAGTTTGGGGGAGGAAAAATATGGGTTTTCCCCCTTCTCCTGGCTCTCGTCTCCCTACAATTTCGTGCTTTGTTTTGGCTTCGAGATGCCAAGATGATGTTTTCCTAAGCTAGCTTGCTTATATATGTTGATTGCTTGAGCTTCGGCAGTTCTTCTGTACGTGATCAGGTCGTGTTCTTTGCTTCGGTTATTCCAAAGTCTCGGCTTAAAATGTTGCAGAAATCTTTCCAGTCTGTTGATTTTTGTTCTTTCAATCGAGCTTGAAACCTTCGCCAATGCTTTCTTGTTTATACATAGATTAACCTGTTTATATCAAATCTTTCTTGTTTTTACGCATCCCTGTTGTTGATAGTCACATATTCTTGGAATTCTCAGAGAAAAATGCTGCTAGATTTGTGGAAATTGTCTCATGAGTTTTTGGTAATCCAAAGTATCTATGTCTTCGATGACCTCGTGTTGCCAAATTGTAGCCTGTCTTTCTTTCTGTTTTAAGAACAGAGAAGCTTGCAGCATTGCAAACTTCCCAATGCAAGTTGCATTCCGTCAGCTGTTCGAGAAGCCCCCCCCTTTTTTTTTTGCTTGTTTGGGATTTAGAAGCAAAAGGTTATCACTTCAATTGATCAGACATTGTTCTATGAATTTATCTCATTATATACATTCATGCGCCACAATTTCAAATGCTTGTATAAATTACTAGAACATCCAATCATAATTTGCTTTGCATTATCATAAATTGAAGTTATTTTGAACTTTGAGTTGGCTGCTTTTCAGGCATTTTCATACTCTAATTTGCCCCTCATACAATGGGCATCATAAAAATAAGGCCACAAGGGCCTGGAAACAGTCATCATTTGCAACAAAGCTTTGTGCATGAGGAGAAATTGTTTTCAGATAGGATTTTCGGTGACGATCATGATGAACATGAAGCTGCTGAGGTGGGTTGTGAATATTTTATGATTGGAGGTCAGATGTGCAGTATCCCATATGAGCTTTATGATCTTCCTGATTTGAACGGAATACTCTCTTTGGAAACTTGGAATTACCACTTAACCGAAGATGAAAGGTTCTCTCTGGTAGCTTTTCTTCCGGATATGGACCAAGAAACATTTTGGCTTACAATACATGAATTGCTTACAGGTGATAATATGTTCTTTGGAAGCCCGCTCGAGAAGTTTTATAATGGATTGATGGGAGGACTTTATTCTCCACAAGTTACTCATTTGAGAGAAGGCCTACAGTTCTTACAGAGAAGTGAGTACTATCACACGTTAAGATCATATCACAAGAATATGGCTCAGACATTCATGGAGATGAAAAAGATATGGGGTAGATGCCGATCCAATATCAGTGTTGAAGAAAGGATTCTTACTTGGAACAGCAGCAAGGGGCACAAACCTGTTTTCGTGGTCGATTTGAATGTGTTTCCAGATGAAGATACCTTAAAGATGGTTGAAAGAAATGAAAAAACATTACCATTCTCAAAGAAGGCCAAGTATATAAATGAAAATTGTGACCCATCATTTCCATTAAATGGTCTACTCTGCAACACTAAAAGGAAACCAATGGGAGTTCTGAAGTTAAAGCCATCTGTTTCGGGCTTAGTGCAAAATCAGACCCTCCAACCATTGCCCGATAAACCAGGAGAACCAACCAAGCAGCTGCCTAAAGCTAAAGGTGTTCTGAAAATAAAGCCCAAGTATGATTCTCTTAATCCAAAAAAGCCAAGAACAGAATCAGAACAAATCTCTGCAAACATTTGGGGTGTTCATGCTCCTAGAGCCTCAGGTCCACAATTTGTTTTTAAGAAGGATGGGCTCGATTTTACTGAGAAGTTGCCAATTTTACATCAGTTAGACAGAGATGGAATTGCTTATGGAAATCAAGAGGCGGTGCAAAAAAAAGAACTTCTTTACGCAGGTGCTGAAACATTCATGGATTCTGAGATATTCCCAAGAAAGCTGAAGATAATTACAGATGTGAGGCAAGATGCTGTAGGGAAATGCAAAGAACAGTTTCCCTTAATAGCTAACCAGAATTTAAGAATTTTTCCTCGTGAAGCTGACCTGATCGGGGAGTACCGCAATGACAAAAAGATCTTGAACAATACAAACACCCAGCAAAATAGATCGATTTATGAAAGTTCTGCGGATCCGAAGATAGAAACTTTCCCACTTACATTTGAAAAACACCGAGAAAAGAGGCTGAACGCTATTTGCGAAGCAGGCTTAAGGACCGCAGATAACTGTACTGACAAACATGACATTTTGACAAAACCTTCTGATCATTTGGAGGATGGGAGTAAAGATGATGCAACAAATGTGACACATTCAGGAGCTGAAAAATGTCTCCTATCTCCTCCTATAACATACAAAAGGAAAAAACCATACAGAAAGATCAACCAAGTGGATTCTCTTAAGCAGCAACCAGACATAGTCAACTTTGAGCCAGCTGCTCCTAGTGGAATAGTAAAACCAAAACCGATGGCAATTAAGATTAAGTTCAGAGGCTTGACAGGTTACAATACTTAATGAATAGCACCTGCTGCCGGATTGGCCGCTACGTGACTATTGATCCAATTAATGCAACCTCATGTACTGAATGGGGACTTCTATCAGGCATTTTAGGAACTAAATATCAATAGATACTATCGTAAAAGCCATGGGCCCCTTGAAAGGATAATCCGCTTCTTGGCAGGCTTGTACTATGAGAGGCAAGCAAGGATCCACATTGATGGTTTGAACTTAACTTTTTGTAGGAAATTGAACGGAACTTACATATTTTTAGATGATCGAGTTTAAAAAATAATAGTCCAGCATATCACAGACCACTATTTGCAAGCTGTCCTTATGTTTCTACCCTTTCTCAGGGTTGATATGAATTTTGTTCTGTATCCGACTTCCTCAAGTGGACAATCAGGGAGATCCTTTTTTTCTCCTTTTTCAGTGGTCATTTTTCATGTGCTGATCCTGGTAAGATCATGGTCAGATGCTGTAAATCGATGTATTTTAACATGAGCAATCAAATAGATGTCCTTTACCATAAGCAATTGCTTACCTTTCAGATGGTTCATTGATCTTAATTCTAGGCAATATCTGTGTCAAGCTGAGACAATTCCACAAGTAATTCAAATATGTGGTACTTCCCTCTGCAGTGTTCTGCTAGCAAGCACCAGATGTTGCACCTGTTAAGATGGACCTATTGCTTATTGCAGAGGGAACAAAAGCAGAAAAATTGGACCAAACTGGGATGTCAGAAACTAGTTATAAACTGGAGTATTTTGCATATTCATATAGCTTTTTGTTTGTGGACTAAAGGCTATTAGGTATACAAAGCAACTATTTCTCTTTTTCTGGGACTAAATTGATCAGAACTGCTGCCTTGTTCAAGTTATCCATGAACAAAAAAACAAGTAAGAATATTTTGCTAATTTTTTTTTGTCTATTGCATATTTGTTCAAATTATTTCTATGAATATGTAACCATGTAAAGTTATGTCATTTTAATGTTCCCTCTTTTTTACAAGATGCCTCTGGGGCACATAATATTGAATCCTCAAGCTAATTTTAGTTTCATGCTCAAAGCTGATATGAAATGGGCATTAGTGATTCAGTCATCTCTGTAACTGACAAAAAAAGGGCTGATGCTACCATCCATAATCTTTCATAATAATGGCTAGCACAACACTTTCTGCTTCTGAACAGAGGTTGAAGCAACAGCCAATGCACATTGGTCAAACCCTTCTTTTTTGGGTGCAAATCTTAGAACACCACCTACTACGCAGGTTGATGCATGATGACCATGCTTCAAATGTGGTGCTGCAAGAATCATCTCCTTTGTTGAATGGTTCTAATTTTCTACTCCTCCCACTTATCTTGGCATGAGCAAGCAACAAAGCTAGTGGCTGAGGCACTGGCACCACTGAACCAGAGGAAGCACATTATCTTCACTGTTCCAAGTCGAAATGCAAATTGCATCCTTCAACAACCCTCGAGAATGCCATCTCCAACCAGGCACATCAAGAACCACCCGACTTGTTATTTGCAAGTGCCCTGGCTACATCTTCCAACACTTGAAGTGGAAGTCTGACCACAATAACTCAAAAGACATTGTCTAGAACACAAGCTGGGTGATTTGTAGTCCATCTGAGCATAGTCTGTGAGATTAGCACTCCTTAAACTGCAGGTATCCTGATCTCCACATAAGATGCTTAATCTAGCTTATGCAGTGGAGATGGTTTTTCGAGTGCTTGGCTTAACCCGAGGAGAAATGAAACACATGCAGGAAGAATTACAAGTCCTTCGACCATGTCTCATGGTCTATCGACCGACAGTGACTGTGCCACCGCAGATTTCTCACCACTGTTCCCATTTGAGAAGCATTACATGAACCCCATGGCTCGTTTTCTGCAACATTCCAAAAGCTTAGCAAGGACATGACAAACTGAACAGAGGTGCGGTGGATTATGCAACTTCTGCAACATCATGTCTCCGTAGACTTATGTCAGCCACAAACGCATGAACGTAAGAGAGCCTGTCGCAGGGAGCCACACTGCTTAGAGATGGATTAGATTATGTCTTTCCACATGATTATATCAGAAGAAATAGCAGGAAGGAAGGAAGAAGAAAGCGATAGGCCACCTTGAGATCATGATTGTTCTCGAATGCTTTGTGGTTCTTCTTTCGACATTCTTTTTTTGGTGGTTGCTTTAGATCCTTCATATCAAGTAACATTAGCCAATGGTTCTTTTGGGCGAGGAACGATAGAGTTCAGTTCATTAATCCAATACTAAACAAATAGCAATAAAGTTGTTAGTCTATGGAATAGCTCAAAAGTTGGTCGCCATTGCTTCACGGCCTAAGTTAGAAAGAAGATTCCAATTCAGAGCTGAGGACTCTTCTTGGATGGTCTTCCCACGGGACTCGAGAGTGTCGGACAACAAGTCAGGAGTCAATTATACGGGCTTCATTCATAGTGCCTTCCAGCTTGTGATCACACCTCCTTTTCTGCTCGTGAGTGGATTGAATCTCATAAAGAATCACGAGGGTCTTTTCCTTGACCCAACCCGTAATTTGTTGCGCAATGACGCATGACCTAATCGCCACAGAGGACTCGAATGGCCACAGGAGGAAGACAAGTTGGAGAAAGCGATGTACCACCCGTTGAAACTTGAACGCGCAGAGGCACAGCTATTTAGAGCTACTCCCTTCACTCGTTCCAAGCTTAGATCACCGAGTTCTGCGAGCGTAATGGCTTCTCTTGCTTGCTCTTCCTGCCGCCGTTGCCTCCACCACCTCCTCCTCCTCCTCTTCCTTGCTCTTTCTCGTTCGTCAGCGTATGGAAAACCTCCAAATATGCATGTGTTCAGCATCCATGATTTGCTACCCAAGTCTTCGTGCTCTTCCCCAGAAGGTTGAGACAATTTTCTTTCCATATATATAGAATTTCGAGTGTTATACATATATATATGTATGTATGTATATAGCATAGTGTACATGCAGAAAACAACGTGTATACCACCGAAAAGCTATGCAGAAGTCAAGATGGCCTGTGCAGGTTTAGGATGTCTTCCTGCACACGATGCTTGTTTAAAGAGGTAGGTCAACAGAGGAGAGCGATTGGTGACCAACCAAGGACAGCAGCAGTGTCTTATCCATCATATAATAGTTTCGATCGAGCTCAAATCATTGTAGTTTGGATTGATAATGATTCAAAGTTGAGTCACAGAGAACAAGCCAGGAAAATTCATCTCCCAGTCCACCAACAGATTGTTTCCACCATGAACTTAGTATATCCTTCATTCTAATATCAACCATTGTTTATGAATGATTCCAATCCCCTGATGCTAAATGAATCTTTCCGTAATTTCCAATTCCGCAGCTTCTGATCCGTCCAAGTTGAAGGTAGTCCATCGGCACGGTCCGTGCTCGCCGTTTGACGAAGGTCGGAAGCTGCCCCATGCCCGACTTCTCGACGCCGACCAAGCCCGAGTCGACTCGCTCCATGTCCGGGCCTCTGCTGCTGCTCAGGTCGACAAGCTGCGCAGCTCGTCGGCGGCAAGGATCCCCGCCCGCACCGGCGGCTCCCTCGGCACCGGCAACTACGTGGTCACGGTCGGCTTCGGCACCCCCCTCATGGACTTCTCCGTCGTCTTCGACACCGGCAGCGATGTGACGTGGATCCAGTGCAAGCCATGCAACGACTGCTACGCGCAGCAGGAGCCGGTGTTCGACCCGGCCCAGTCCTCCACGTACGCCACTCTGGCCTGCAACTCCGCCGACTGCGGCCGGCTCGACTCGCACAGCTGCTCCAACGCGTCCACCTGCCGCTACGACGTCCAGTACGGCGACAAGTCGCAGACGCAGGGCACCTTTGGCCGCGACACTCTCTCGTTGTCGCCGTCCGACGTGCTGCCCGGCTTCAAGTTCGGCTGCGGCGACACCAACAGCGGGCTGTTCGGCAGGGCCGCCGGGCTCCTCGGCCTCGGCCGTGGAAGCGTGTCGTTGGTGTCGCAGGCGTCGCGGAAGTACGGCGCGGTGTTCTCCTACTGCCTGCCCTCGACGTCGAGCTCGACCGGCTATCTAACCATCGGCCGTGGCTCGCGGTCGAGCACCAAGTACACGCCCATGCTGACGGTGCCGGAAATGCCATCGTTCTACTTCGTGAGGTTGATAGCCATCAAGGTGGGCGGCAAACAGCTGCCCATCTCGAGGATGGTGTTCTCGACCGCTAGGACGCTGATGGACTCCGGCACGGTGATCACGCGGCTGCCACCGTCGGCATACGCCGTCCTGCGGTCGGCGTTCAAGCAGAAGATGACACAGTACCCGCCCGCGCCGGCGTTGTCGATACTGGACACGTGCTACGACTTCACGGGGTACACGACGGTGTCGGTGCCGACTGTGGCGCTCGTGTTCAGCGGCGGGGCTACGCTTAGCGTCGACTTCACCGGGATTCTTTACGTGGCGAGCGTGTCGCAGGCTTGCCTGGCCTTCGCTGGAAACGACAACGCCGACGACCCGGCCATCATTGCCAACGTGCAGCAGAGAACGTACAACGTGGTGTATGACGTCTCCAAGAGGAAGATTGGATTTGGGGCCAAAGCTTGCAGCTGAAATCATCAGTCAGTCATTCGACAGTAGCAAACAAATGGAATGATTAAAGGACGAACGACAGAATAAAAGTAACTGTGAAAGGTTAACAAAGCAACGGTCAAAGCATCGATTGGTCGTGTCAAATTCCTTCTAGAAGATTTTTTTTAATGATTTTCTTGAGAAAGTCTTTTTTATTTTTTTTCAAAAAATATTATTTTTTTGATTGGTCTCTCATTATAAATAATATCCAAAATATCTCTCATCAACCATAAAAATATTTTTCTCATCCATTATATATAGTGTTTTGACTTACTATAATATTTTGTCACCATAAAAAAATACTATAAAATCGACTTAGAAATAGTATAAATAGTATATAATACAAATGAAATCATAACATTAGCTAAACCAACCTTAAACCTAAAAATTTCCTAGTGTAATAGTCTATGAGCAATGATAAGCAAAGAGACATAATACGAAGTTACTTACAATATTTTTCAATAGCTTTATAATATCTTTAATATCATAATAAAACCTATAATGTTATTAAAAAAAATACTATAAGCAAGTCAAATAAAATCAAAATATACTAAAAATTATTTAATATATCATATTAGAATTCAAATAGGTACTATAATAATTTAAGAATAACATCATCTAAATATGGATAAAAATTATTGCGACCATCACAATACCGTAATGTTATTGAAAAATATTATAAATGAGCCAAATAAAAACACTATAATGGTTCAAAACTGATAAAAAAATACCATTAGCGTTGATGATGAGTATTTTGAGTATTATTCCATTTAGGGAGCATCATTTTGGGAAAAAGTAAAACATGGATTCCTTTCTTTTTAAAAAAAAGATTTTTTTTTGAAAAATTACTCCTTTTTTTGTACAGTCTGATGCTGGTTTGAATTATATATTTAACATATATATATTTATATATTTATCTAATTCATTTATATATTTATCAAAAACATTACATTACCAAATTGTTGTGAGTAGTTTTTTCCTTCCCTTAAGTCTACAGAGCTTCTGTACCTAACCTTATCTAACGCGAAAAAATACAGAAATATAAATACAGGCGGCTTTCGTCCATTTGCTATCAATATTGCACAGATAATAAATGAAGCAAAAGAAGATATTGCCCAATAATATGGTCCATAATTGATCCGAGAACTCATTTCATCGTTCCTTAGTTGATAATGACATAGACGTACCTTGTCTTGTGCAATAAATAAGTTCTTGAATGTCTCGTTCATGGCCACCTCGCCGTCCGTGTCTTACCCGGCTTCCTCCTCCTCCTCATCTTCTTCTTTTCCTTACCGTCCGATACTGCCAACAAGAGAAGTGCAGTAATATCAAATTGCCTGTGTTGATTCCTTAAGCCCACCACAGCTTCAACGCCTAGAACTTAACAATCATATCAGTGAATCGGCCAAAGTTATTCTCATAGTGGTTGAAGTACAAAAGTAACTCTGAGATATGACATGTTCTTTGCAATCTGGTTCCGCAAGAGCCACAGTGGAAGAGGATCCTATGGACATCTCGCTTCGGACTGGTAGCCGATTGGAGATCTGATAATGTACACGGATCTTCCACACCTCGACGGGGATACGCGATAAGATTTATGTGACTCCGCGAAGATCGGACAATCTGACCTTGAATAAGCCAGTGGGTCCTACGTCAACGACTAGTCCACAGCCTTCTAAATCAATTTCGCATGTGGTAATCAGAGGCCAAACCATTAGCATCGCTTTGAAGATTCAAAGGAGAGAAGGTAGTACTGAAGGTTCTCTATAAATTGGATGCATTGCCAGAGCTCCTACGCACAAGACTTGTATCTCCCCAGCTAACTAATGGCTTCAGCTGCCCTCCTAACCAGCTCTTGTGTTCTGTTTCTGCTCCTAAGCTACAGTTCTCACCTTGCCAATGGAGAAGTACAGAGCTACCATAAGGTTCAAAGACGTTCTTTGAATCCCGGAGCAGTCTGCTCCCCGCTCAAAGGTTAATCATACATCAGCTGCCTCCTACTTTTGGTGTTTTATTTGCGCTGCAGATCTCGTACCTGTTATAAAGTATCATCTGTAGTTTTAACTAAGTCTTCCTTCTCTATCTCTTTAAGCTGTAAATTGGACGCACGATGTTACTGAGCAAGCAGATGGAAGTTGTACTCATAAATTGCTGCACTTGTTTGACGTAAATTTACTTAAAAGACAAAAAAATAATACTGACTATTGGTGGTGATATATACTTCCATGCATGCATGCATGGTTCTCAGATCCAACGTTCCCTCTCTACGGTTGGTCAGTCGGTATGGACCCTGCTCCCCCTTCGAGACAAAGGAACTGCCATCACTTGAACAAATCCTTCTTAAAGACCAACTTCGAGTAAATTATCTCCTAAAGGGTGTCGTGAAGTCACAGCTCAATGATTCCATGGCAAGCATCCCCGCGGAGCTCCAAGGAGGGGAGTACGTGATCACCGTCGGCTATGGCACCCCCAGCCGAGAGCAGACTGTGATAATGGACACCGGAAGCGACCTGAGTTGGATCCAATGCCAACCATGCAACGTATGCTACTCGCAGAAGGAGCCGATCTTTGACCCATCCCAATCATCCTCCTACGCCGCGATCCCTTGCAACTCGTCGGACTGCAGTCAGCTCCCAAGCAGCTGCTCCAGCTCTTGCGCTTATTTCATCCCCTACGGCGATGGGTCGAACAGTTCAGGAGTCTACAGCTACGACAGACTAACGCTGTCGCCAAACGACGTGATCGAGGACTTCATCTTTGGGTGCGGCACCGACAACGAAGTGCTGTTCCACGACGCCGCAGGGCTCGTGGGTCTCGGCCGTGACAAGCAGTCTCTTGTGTCTCAGACGTCGCAACTTTACCACTCGGTCTTCTCCTACTGCCTTCCTTCGACTTCCAGCAACACGGGGTTCCTAAAACTGGGCGAAACTGGTGACGCCTCCAACACCGTTTACACTGGAATGCTGACCAGCTCCAATGATCCAAGCTACTACTTCGTTGACCTGATCGGAATCAGCGTGGCCGGGGAGCAGCTGGCCATTTCGCCATCGGTTTTTAGGTCCGGTGGCACGTTCTTGGACTCCGGCACTACGATCACTCGCCTCCCGCCGTCGGCCTACGAGGCCCTGAGGTCGGCGTTCCGGGAGCACATGTCGGCGTACCCTCTTAAGCCTACTAATGGACTGCTTGATACCTGCTATGACTTGAGCGGCTACGAGACCATAACAGTTCCCAGCATAGCACTGCAATTTGGTGATGGAATCACCCTGGACGTCGACTCGTCTGGGATCCTCTTCCATGACTGCTTGGCATTTTCTGCTAATCAAGTTGGTGGCTTGGGGATCATTGGCAATGTGCAGCAGCGAACATATGAAGTAGTCTACGATGTAGGAAATGAGAGAATTGGATTCGCGCCGAACGCTTGCAGCTGATCAGTATCACCTCATGCATATATATAAATATAAATAAATAAATAAATAGCATGAGGCATAAGGATATATAGCATGCACCTGCAGCTGGCAGTCAGCCTCTATTACCTTCACCAGAATTGTCTACCGTTCTATTTCAGCATCCACCTCCCTGCTTCTATTTCAGTAAACTGTTATCTGTGATACACCATTCTGGTTCTTCTGTACGTGTGCCTCTTTTCTTGGTTAATTATGTGTTTGGCATTATGTTTTGGAAGTATAAGCTAGAGCTCAGATTAATTAATCTAACAACATTTTTCTTCGTATATAATAAAGAATCACGAGGGTCCTTCTGAAGGATGGTCTATTTAGTCACCACATCGAAAGGAGGAAGACGATAGAGAAAAGCTAGAGGATGTGAGTGAAATGCTATAATTCTATAACTAGCTGTTGAAGGCACATATAATTTAATTTACTGTAGATTATTCTTAATCATAAGAAAAGTATATTTGATCAAAAAAACAAATAATAACATAAAATGTATGGGAAGCTTAAATCTAATAGCAAATTCATGTCTAATTCATAATTCAAACTTGTACTTGTGATAATTTTAATAAAAGGGATAACTGTTGTGATATTGTTTTCATTATAAATCACACCATCTGCAACTTTATAGATCTTAACATGCGTAGAAAATATATGTTACTAATAATAAACTCTTCTAGTCTGCATAAAGATCTACAAAGTCTGATAACTTTCCATCCTATTTTACTCTCCAAATAAAGCTAAATTGGTCCATGATTAATTGGAAAACGCCATTGTTGCCGAGTAGTTTAATGTCACTTGGAGTAGCTTGTCCTTCGCAATCATTTGGGAGTGTGTCTCTTTCATGGCCACCTCCCCTGCCTGTACCTCCTCTTCGTCTTCTTCTTTTGATTAGCCTCTGCTGCTGCCAACCATTGATTCAACACCAGACCAGCTGAAGTTATTCTCATAGTGCAATCCGTTCATCACATACAGTATCGGAGCTATCGATCTATCATTGCAGGTTTCAGAAGTACGAGTCCATGTTCTTGCGCACTTTGGTTCGTGCGGACATGGAAGTATACTGTGTAATTCCCTCTCGATTAGCTCCCGATCCACTCGCCTGGGTGACTCGTAGAACACCCATAAGGAAGCATTTAGTTGTGGTTGTTATTAGTTGACGATTTATGAGCCAGTCAGGATTTATGTTGCACTCGAGTTGTGGCTCTAATCATTCGACTTTGAACTGTCAAAACTCTTCCTTTCGAACTCATCGTTGTGTCGTAAACCAAATTATTTCGTGGATTTTGCAGTGGGATTGCGAAACTAAGCATAAATTGGTCCGTGATTGTGTGGAAGAACTTGACGATGCCAGTCAATTCGAAGTCAACGACTAGTCCACATACTTGACTCAAATCAGAGGCCAATGTGGTAGCACAAAGAAAGTGGTTTCGAAGTCTCTATAAATTGGATGCATTGCCATAGCTATCCTGCGGCCAGGGCTTGTATCTTCCCAGCAAATGGCTTCGGCTGCTCTCTTAATCGGCTCTTCTGTTCTGTTCCTGAGTCACTGTTCTTCCCTTGCTAGCGGAGAAGACGCTCAGAGCTACCACGTGGTTCGAAATCATAATTCGAGTCCCGAAGTTGTCTGCTCCTCATCCAAGGGTCAGTCATACCCCAGCTGCTCTCTTGCATCAAACTTTTCTTTGGGTTG